TCCAGGCTGATTTAATGCCAAGGAGAGCAGAGATCCAGAGGCCAAGTCCAAATTTTCCCGTGCAGCAGCATGGTGCACATCTTCTTGGCAATTCTCCAATGCATTTCTTTGAAATATCTTCTCTTGGGATTCCAGCATGTTAAAAAGGAAAATAAAATGCTACTTAATAGATAGTACATAAGTGCAATCATTGGCCACACCAGTAATGACCAAAAAGCTGAAAAGATGTTCCTGGCTTTTGTAGACTTGAATAGAGAGATTTAAACTGAGCTCATCCTTCCCCACAGACATCTACAGGAGGAAACCTCACCAGCTGTCTGCAGGTGTTGGATTAGTAGCCCTTCAAAATGAGGGCTTCTGCCCAGAAACAGAAGTACAGCTTTCCATAGCAGTCTCGCTTAGACACCTGCAGTTTACACTGGATGAAACAGTGTCAGAAAAGACTGGTTTTCAGCCAAGAGTCCTCACCCAGTTTTGTAGCTTACCACTAACCCATTAAAACCCACAGGTATATTGCAAATGGGAAAGAGGAGGGGGGACCTGGTCTCTCTGCAGACAACTGTTTCTCTCCAGAATTGCTAAAGTGATATTTTGAGCCAGAAAAAAAAATGCTAGGTATTTAAATGGGAAATTAAGATGAAAAAAATCTTCACAAGGCACAGGAAGTTTTTTATCCAGTTAAAATATTAGGGTTTTTTCCCTTTTACTTGAAAGTCAGAGATTTTATCGGCAGCAACTTTCTTTATTACCTTGTTTTGTGTTTTTCACTTCATCAATGGCATGCTTTGATCCGTATGAAATTTTACTAATAGGACTATTTTTCCTAGGCGTGTGCTTAGATATTTTTCAGAACCTTACCAGAGTATCTGTCAGGGAACAAATTTGGCCACAGACTTTGAATGGTGATGGCATTTTCTGTATGCAGGTGTAGCTATTTTGGTATGTTCTGTGTACCGGGTGCTCTTTAAAGTAGTATTTCGATACATAAGCTACGAAGTAAAGGGAAAATGAGTCAGTAGAATTTAGAATAAACTTTATTTATCTTATGAATGTTTATGATGGCATTTTGTATAATACCTTTTCTATATTAATCTATGTTGTTACTCTGTTAGGAAGATAAAAGAATTCACTTGCTTGCACATGTGCATGTCCAGAGAAGGGCAACGAAGCTGGTGAAGGGTCTGGAGCACAAGTCCTGTGAGGAGGGGCTGAGGGAGCTGGGGGTGCTCAGCCTGGAGAAGAGGAGGCTGAGGGGAGCCCTCATCGCTCTCTACAGCTGCCTGAAAGGAGGCTGGAGCCAGGTGGGGGTCGGTCTCTTCTCCCAAGTAACAAGAGATAGGACAAGAGGAAATGGCCTCAAGCTGCGCCGGGGGAGGTTTAGGTTGGATAGTAGGAAAAACTTCTTCACCGAAAGAGTAGTCAGGCCCTGGCACAGGCTGCCCAGGGAAGTGGTGGAGTCCCCATCCCTGGAGGTATTTAAAAGCTGTGTAGACGTGGTGCTTAGGGCCATGGTTTAGTGGTCGACTTGGCAGTGGTGGGTTAACGGTTGGACTTGATGATCTTAAAGGTCTTTTCCAACCTAAACGATTCTATGATTCTATGATTATTTGCCAGTGATATTTTCTAAATAAGGAGTTTGGCGTCAGTGAGAAGTGACTGCTTTCCTAGGGCTTTGACCCACCCAGCTTTTCATCCCCATTTTGGGTGACTTTGCAGGTGTTAAACAGCATTGCGCTGAAGCAGGAGGATCTGACTGAAGCAGGAGATATCGCTCTCAGAGCTGTTTTCGTTACACTTCATCATCATAAGCATATGGTTTCACTTCCAAGTGTTTAACATTTCCATTTCCTCAGGAAACCATTCTTTCTATTTTTTAAACTTTTGAAACTGGATGGATATTTTTACTGGCAGGCGGACCGAGAGCGACACGACGATCAGCCCCAGCCCAAGGGAGCCCCTGGCTGCGGTACCCGCCTGGCTCCCCGTCCCCTCCCCTCGTGCAGCAGCTCCTGAGCACGGCTCGGGGTGCTTCAGCCAGGTCTCCGGGGTGCAGCATGCTGTTAAAACACTTCTGCTTTCCTTACTATAATAAAACCATCCACTCCTTTTTTCTGCTTTAGCTGAGAGAGGTGTTTTTCTTTCTTAGTCCACTCCAGGGCCCATGCATCCCAAGAATTAGTTGAGAGCAGACTCCTTTAGCTGACTTAGTGAGGCCAATGGCAAGATCAGGGCCTAAGAAAATATTTTGTGTCACCTACAAGGAATGAAAACAGTTGCATCATGTATTTATTGTCTGTATTGGTATATCCAGCACTCAAACGAACATGACCGAGGAGTGGATGGCTCCGGGGACCTGCTCTGGCTCTCGTGTTTTCAGAGATTATTTCTGGTATTTCCTTTTTCCTCATTACGAACGGGTCACGCTTCTCACGTGTTGGCCAAGTTATGTACTGTAGGAGGAAGTCTATGCTCATGTCTTCTTTATGTTTCATTTATCCACATATGTAATAGTGTTTAGCTGCTTGTTTTCTTTTCCTGCTATGCTATAAAGTACAGTTATTGGATGTTCAATTTGCATGCCTATTTAGCTGGTATCACTAGCCCTTTTGTTAGAAGAGCATCCTCTGCTACAGCGAGTGTCACCATATCGTAAAAGCTTTGATAAACTAACTGCATTTTGTACAACAAGCGTTGTCACCGTGCATCAAATAGCACTGTACAAGAGAAAATATAGGGCAAACTAGCTGATTAATGTATTTGTTCCTTTGTGTTTTATTCTGTTACAAAGTCAGGCAGTCACATTTTTTCCACTGCTTGTTTAACATGAGAAAGCTTGCTGTGGGTTTGGGCTTCTGTCGGGATTGAGTCCTGCCATCAGGCAGGCGTGTGCTACTGATATTCAGGCTGTATATTTTATTCATACCCTCAGAAGAGTGAGTTAGTCAAGGTAGCAGAAAACAGCATCAGACAGATGTAGTTCAACCTCCAGACCTCCCAGGAGACCTCACCCAAGCTGCTGAGCCTCTGGCTTCATCCCAGCCTCTGGGACATTGTGAATTGCTGCTTTGATCCACTCAGGCTCTTTCCTAACTCCTTTGCTTACCTTCGCGCTGTGCGTGTCTGCACATCCCTTCAGCAATTACCTTCTCACTAAAAAAGCTACTTGGTCAAGCAGCGCAAGCTTGTACCGCACGCAAGGCTGGTCAGGGTCCAAGCGAGCCCGCTGCCTCGCTCGCCGTACCTGTCTCTGTCGTGATGTTCCATGCTGGAGGCTCCGGCTCATGCAAACAAACCAGTGCCACGGGCTTGCTGCTGATAGTTAGATAGGCTGGAGGTCAAGTTAGGATTTACAGAGTGCTTTCAATCCAGTTTTATTTGCTAGAGCGTGTCAAAGTATTGCAATCTTCTGGATAGATTGAGTGATATCCTGATCCAAAATGGACTGGCAATGCCAGCCACAAAATGGTGCTGGTACGTTGTTCCAGACCGCTTCAGAAGACCAGACCAGAGCAGGACCATACTGAATTAAAAGCTAGCCCCAACCCGTGTCTCCAGCAACCACCCCGTGGGTGCTTCAGGGGCCAGTTCCTGAAGTACAGCCATACCTGGACACAGATGCAGCACTGGGCACGCACCCTCCTTCCTTTTACAAGAGGCAGCCTTGGGTGCTCCTGCCCACCGGCCACCCAGCTACCGGTCAGCAAGTCCAACATCTCGTACAGCATCTTCCGTTCAGGAGAGATGTCCTGGTTTTGCAGAACATGGTCCCCAGGGTGCGACCTGTGATGAGCAAGGCCTTCGGCTGGGTGCCTCCATGGCAAAGGCAAGCTCCATCGGAGCCGTGGGCCTGCAGATGTTCTCCTTGGAGTGGATGGAGCTGCAGGGTGCAGGGGGCCAAAGCAAAGGAGGAATAAAAGACATTGCAGGAGTGACTGCAGACCTGAGAGAGAAGTAACCAAAGCACTGACAACTTGTGTGGGTTTCATATGTCTGTTTGCAGTGCTATGTTATGTGTTTAGAAGCTGGTTGTTTCCATAATAACAGCAAGTGCCATATGGCAGCGAGGAGGGTGGTGAGAGGAACACTCAAGGAAACACAGTATGTTGTTTGACATGTGTGTGCTTCTAGAGGAATAACGTGTCTTGAGCAAGTACTGCTGCTCCAAACAGGCTGGGGGATTTGCTGCTCTCACCAGAAAAATATCCAAAGCCCTTGGTATTCGTGCTGGTGCAATGCCAGTTAATGATGCCTGCACTTCTCCCATGTTTTCCTGCAGATAGTCCCTGTGATGGGTAAAGGATCTTTTGCTTTACTGGCAATGACGGTTCTGGATGCACTAGCACAGGAGAATGGCATTTAAACGTGCCGTTTAAGGGGAATTACGGTTCTATAAAGGAGTGCTGTGTGAAACTGAAACCAGATAGATGCCATATGCTCCATCCAGTCGTTAATGTTCAGCAAGTAAATAGGAGAAATTTTGAAACCTTTGAAAATACATAGTTTGCAATAATTGTTTAGTAGAGAGTGGGTTGAGCATTTCCAGAGATTAGGGGCACTTTAGTGCATATCTAGGAAGCATCCAGGAAGGTCTCCACAAATTCCAGCTTTTCCTACCCTTTAATGTATGACTCACATTTCAAGGACTTGTAATTTGCTCCCCACATTCCCACAAACACCACCAGTCTGAGCGGTACCTTTGCAGAGCGCATAGATTTCCACCACAGAAAAATGTGAAATTATTTTTTCCTAGTAGCTGAATGGCTTTTGTGGGACTTCTACCAACATCAGCTCTATAAAATTGAGCCTCTCTTGTTTGAGTCTTAAAGCCATTAATTATATTTGTATTTGGATACCTGAAATGTGGTGGCGGGGAGAAGGCAGTAGTTCTGATTTGGGGTCGCAGTTCTGCACTCACTTGCAATGCTTTAAACTCCTAACCAACCCAAAAGGCAAAGCTCTTCTCATTTTCATGCTTCTCTTCTTCTCTTTATTGCCTCTAGAGAGAGATTACTGCAGCATATGCGAAAAGCAGCCGATCGGAAGGCTTCTCTTTCGGCAGTTCTGTGAAACTCGACCCGAGCTCGAGTGCTGCATTAGGTTCCTCGACTCGGTGGTAAGTCAATTCTTGTGATATTTTGGGGTGCTTCACAGTGCTCTCCTGACAGAGGAGACTCCCCTGAGCCCAAGAAATCACTGTTTCATGGGATGTGATTTTGTGTCTAATGCACCTGAGCAAGCAGCACTGGGCTGACGCCGTCAGTGTCCCAGTGTCACTGGTGGTAGAGGGATCGGTACCAGCCTCGGGGAGCGCGAGCCACTGGAGCGGGAGAAGGGCAGGCACCCCGGCACAGTGCTGGCGTAGCCTCCCTTCGTGTCAACGCCCAAGCAGCTGAGCTGCTGTGAGTAATGTCTTTTGATGTGGGTGAAGCCTGCAGTGCTGGGAGGCACTGGGAGGAAAGGGAAGATGATGAATGGACTGACAGGAGAGGATGAGGAGTATGATAATACTAATATCTATCTCTTACCAAGTCTTTTCATCGGTAGACTGCAGGGTGATTTACAAAGGACATCCTGATTGTTATCCTGTTTTTTCAAGTAGGAAAACAGAGGCACAAGGTATAGAAGTGACATGGTTGAGGTCACCCAAAAAACAAATCTGCTCCATTTCTCACCCCAGTGAGCTATCAGGTAACCCGGCGACTGAGCAACACCCCGCAGCCCTGGGGGGACCCGACGCTCTGTCCCAGTCTGGCAGCACTTGGCCATGTGTAGTGCCAGCAGGAGAGGTTGTTCACACTGGAAAAGTCTCTCAGCGTCTCTCTTGCTGGGAGCCTGCAGAAGGGTAGGGTGTTGATGAGCCAAAAGGCTAAATCATACCAGAAAGGAAAATGAACTTGTTGCTGCTGAGTGTGAGTGTCCGGGGGGCTTCTCTCTCTGGCTTACACTGACAGTCAAAAGCAAAACGATGCATACCACAGGAATGAAATTTGTTTGTACCATGGTGAAGCTATTCTGAAGTATAGGGAGATGTGAGGATTGCACTGAAGTTGTAAGAGTCTGGGAGAGGACAAGTGGTCACTTAAAGTTTATGTTAGTACTGCAGTATCTACAACAAATTACAGCATCACAGAAAGGGTTGGATAAAGTCCTATTCAAATCAGTTTTAGCTGATCACAACTTCTGCCTGATATTCCTAGCACTGGTCATGATTTTCCCCAGTGAAAGGTTTAGGTATGTGAAACTGCTACAACTGACAGATGCTCTGTGCAGCTGTGCTCAAGGCTGGCAGGCAGGAGGACATTTTGGGTACCCTGGATGTGTTTGTCCTGCACCAAACCAGCATCATCTAGTGAGATGTCTGCCACTGGTGAAACTCCACGCACCCGTCTGGGGGGAGGCATCCCTGCAGAAATGCTGCACAAGGTGTGACACCCACAGCCCCGAGGAGACGGGCGATGGCCGTCCCTCTAGGAAGCCACAGAAATCCTTTGGGAGACAGCCACAAAAGACTGCTTCCAAGTGATTTTAACTTCAGACAGAAGAGACAGAGCTGTTCTCAGTCTGGAGAGGGTTAGGGAGGCTCTGTTCTTTTCTCAAGCCTCCTGGTAGCAGCAGGTGTCACATTATGGTTCCAGCAGTGCCCAGGGGCTGCAGAGAACAAGCCCGCATTGTGCAAGCCCTGCACACGCCTGGCAGCAGGTGCTCAGGGCGTACCAGTTCAGCTGACAGCAGTAATAACATCTGGGCAAAAGGAAACATTACTGTCCCCACGTGTGTCCCCCCAGTGCCACCAGCCCCAGAGCACTGCATGATAACCTTCGCTGCAGCGCTGGCCGGAGCCTCTCCCAGCAGCGCCGGCCGCCCAGCCCACCTCCAGCTGTGGGAATTGAGGGCACTGTGTCATTTCATTCTCCCAAAGCCCTGTGGAGCGGTGCCAAGCACTGAAACTCTGTGTTCTCCCAGCATCTGTGCAGCACAGGCGACACTGGTCCTGCGAAGGCTTGAGGTGGGACTGACTTTGTTTTCAAGTTCCCTCTCCGAGCAATCCCAGGCTGATATCCCCAAATCCTTTGTAAGGGTGTGATTTGCACCCACCCCTGGGTTGCTTTTGCAGACTGGAGCTGCCCTGCATACCCTTACTGGGCCAGCGATCTGTTCCCAGTTAGGCTCAGACTGGCAGTACAAGGATTTCACAAACAAAATGCCTGGCTGTGTGGAGGTCTGAATATT